CAAAAATGCAAAATTAGATCAATAATGATTGAAACTACTCTTAAAAACGGTTAAATGAAGTGACAAAAGGCCAAAACGCCATATTAAATGGGACGTATGACTCCGCCCCCCACGATGACCTCTTCCCAACCTGAGGCACATTTAAGTCCATTAAATATTTGTAAAATTATCTCAATATCATGTGTGCCTTACCTTTAATGTTCATTCATGTAAATGTGAAGACAAGGCGTCAACTCCGCCCTCTAAAATGGACTTGAGATCCTTGATGGTACCTACAAATGGAACACAAAAATGTAAAATTAGATCAATAATGATCGAAATTACTCTTAAAAACGGTTAAATGAAGTGACAAAAGGCCAAAACGCCATATTAGATGGGATGCATGACTCCGCCCCCCACGATGACCTCTTCTAAACCTGAGGCACATACAAGTCCATTAAATATTTGTAAAATTATCTCAATATCATGTGTGCTTTACCTTTAATGTTCATTCATGTAAATTTGAAGACAAGGCGTCAACTCCGCCCTCTAAAATGGACTTGAGATCCTTGACGATACCTACAAATGGAACACAAAAATGCAAAATTAGATCAATAATGACCAAAACTACTCTTAAAAACGGTTAAATGAAGTGACAAAAGGCCAAAATGCCATATTAGATGGGACGCATGACTCCGCCCCCCACGATGACCTCTTCTAAACCTGAGGCACATACAAGTCCATTAAATATTTGTAAAATTATCTCAATATCATGTGTGCTTTACCTTTAATGTTCATTCGGTAAATTTGAAGACAAGGCGTCAACTCCGCCCTCTAAAATGGACTTGAGATCCTTGACGGTACCTACAAATGGAACACAAAAATGTAAAATTAGATCAATAATGATCGAAATTACTCTTAAAAACGGTTAAATGAAGTGACAAAAGGCCAAAACGCCATATTAGATGGGACACATGACTCCGCCCCCCACGATGACCTCTTCTAAACCTGAGGCACATACAAGTCCATTAAATATTTGTAAAATTATCTCAATATCATGTGTGCTTTACCTTTAATGTTCATTCATGTAAATTTGAAGACAAGGCGTCAACTCCGCCCTCTAAAATGGACTTGAGATCCTTGACGGTAACTACAAATGGAACACAAAAATGTAAAATTAGATCAATAATGATCGAAATTACTCTTAAAAACGGTTAAATGAAGTGACAAAAGGCCTAATTGCCATATTAGATGGATGCATGACTCCACCCCCCACGATGACCTCTTCTGAACGTGAGGCACATACAAGTCCATTAAATATTTGTAAAATTATCTCAATATCATGTGTGCTTTACCTTTAATGTTCATTCATGTAAATTTGATGACAATTTGTCAACTCCGCCTACAAAAATGGACTTGAGATCCTTGACGGTACCTACAAATGGAACACAAAAAATGTAAAATTAGATCAATTATGATTCAAATTACCCTTAAAAATGGTTAAATAAAGTGACAAAAGGCCAAAATGCCATATTACGTTCTGATATAGCTCCACCCACCTCCCCTGCTCCATTTAGACTCATATCTGGTTGCTGCGGCTTATCTGATGAGAATATGATCCCAGCAGATGAATTCACACTTACTCCTTTATTACAGTCACCTGCAACTTTCCCTCCATTAATCTTAGTACACATTCTATTAGTATCACCATCATTGGAATCATCACTATCAGTAGTGGTGGTGTTGGTTGATTCTAATGCCAGTATCATTGCCAGTAGTGTTTCCATTGCTAATTATGTTGGTTGATGATATCGTGTGATAAGAGCTGGGGAATGCTTGCTGTAATAATATTTAGCAAATACCCCGTACTATAGTACAGGGTAATTGGCTAAGCTTAATAACAGCTGATGGCTGACATACCTTAGCAAGTAGTTTGCTCAGTCTCTCGCACACGTTAGTACAGTAGGTACTGCAATCATAATTAACATATAACTCTGATGCAAAATTATGAATGTGACAAAACAAAAGAAAAGAGAGACAAAAATTTATTAAACTGTCACGAATCTCGTGTACATAAATGTACTCTTTCTTACTTGAATTGAGACATTCTAATGTTAGCTCTTGTCTGCCTGCTTGAAGTCTTGACTGATCTAATTGTATTGTGTGCATTAGCTTATTAAGGAACCACTGAGAGAGGGAGAGGGAGAGAGAGAGAGAGAGAGAGAGAGAGAAGTACATGTGTATTTAATGATCCACATACATGTATGTGTTTCTTTCTTTACCTCCAGCTGTAGTTTGAGATGATGACAATTTGAATCAAAAAGAAGAAAGCACTTTGTCAAAGAGCGACCAAAAACATCAACAGATTCGTTCTGAAGCAACTAACAAAATACAATTTACACAAACTGAAATACGTACTTCGTAATGTTGCTCATTTACAGTAAGTAAGTGATGGCAGAGTCCGTCTTTCATGAGAACTCTCAGTGATTTAATGTCCCCAAGTCTCGTCACGCCACACTCCAACATAACAGTCACCAAATCCAACACAATGCATATCACTCGTGTGTCATTCCTTTATGGAGGAAAGGAAGAGAGAGAAAAGAGAAGATTTTATGATTAAATAAGAGATCAATGGGCACACAGCAATTCACCCAAATTAAGCACTCCAAACTATCTACATTGTACAACATACATGTACATGTACATGTAGCTACGTAAAATAATAATGAATATCATCATTACCTGCCACGAGTCTCTGTGAACAACAAGAGCTAATGAGAGCATCTGTAATGAGAGAGAGAGAGACAGAGAGGAGACAAGAGTATTAGGAAAAGTGAGAAGTGTTGTGGTGAATTGCATGTGACTGTGACAAAAAGGAAGTGCCATTAAGTAATAATGTCAATGAACAGCAAATTTATTTCAAGCAAGATGTGTCACCAAATTATAAAATAATGGATTCCACAAGTTTACTAAGAGGAATTGTTATTCATATAATATTACTATTAAAACAATAAGTAAAACAATGTACTGAAACGGCACAAGTTCCTATACAAGTAAAAGGCCAGGGTCAGGGTTGAGTAATCAATATCAATTGCAGCATATGTATGTATAAATTAGCAGTCATAGACATTAGTACATGTAGATTTTTTTCACTCATTCATCATTACACAGAGATAACGTGACAGCATGGAATATGCGTGAGCCACATTGGTGCTATTAAATCAGAGCTTAGGCAAGCCTAAAAGCATGACTTGTTGTATTAATCATTAATTTTGGTACATAACATACACATGCAAGGTAAAAGAAGAATGAAACGTACAGTTAAGTCAACTCCAATTACATTCATATATTCACCTTTCACGCCCGCATTGGCAAATAAAAATTTCAATGATAAAAAAATTGTAATGATGTTACCTGCCCTCTCCGCCAGTGAAACAGATCAAATTGGAGTGGGGTAATAAACTGGCAATGCTGATAAGCAATAAAATATCTGGAGATTGGGGGTTTTATATGTACATTAAGATTAAGAGTCATATCACTACTTCACAGATGATATTAGACAACTTATATAGCAAAACTTGTGTTTGAACTACATTTCAACACTAAACCAATATCACTATCAAATACTAATATAGTACTATAAGCTACTACTTCGTACTAACAAGCATACATTCACAAACACGTACGTTATCAGAAAACCAACTCAAAATTTTTGTGGCAAGTTATAATAATTGTAGTCAAAGGTAAATTAGTAGTGAATTTGTAAAATGGGTCTGAATAGGCAAAAACATCCTCAAAATGCCATCATTGCCATGTACAGTTAAGTACATGTACATGCACACAAAGATATTATGCAAGAACTTGACAGCCTAGGCAAGCTTAGAGCTGTTAAAATGAAGTGTTGCATGTTGGTTAGTAACAGGCCTTTGCTTGCATAGCCAAAAATTATAAAAGGAACTGATAGCAAAGGCAAGAACTATAAAACTGAGGAAAGTTGATATGGATATCAGCAAAACAATAAGTAAGAACTTTCTTAATGCTTTTCCTGTTTCAGTGCTTGTTCTTAGTAAAAATTAACTAAACCTAAAACAATTTTTACCTACATGTAGCTTACTAAAATAATAAATGTATGGTAAACTAAGAATATTTGCTTAGTTTCAGTAAACTGTGTACAGTCACAGTTTCAGTGGATAATAACTTTTCCAAAACTAATGCTAAAACTGTCACTAAATACTATTAATACTATTTCATTTTCTAGATATCATACGTGTATAATTATGTGTAGCGAGCTACATACGGCTGATAATTAAAGTAAATAGTTGAACATGCATTTTGTCTTATTTTATGATGGATATTTTCATAGTACATCCAAAAGAAAAGGCTTCCAAAGCCATCGTATGTACATATTGTTTCATAAACCGTAAATAATGATTAAGAAACAATATTCTACATGTACAATAATTATCATTGTAAAATAGATCATCATTAATACTACTAATAATATCAATAGCACTATTATTATTAATACACTGTACCGCAGATAAAATTGAAACGACAATTACTACTAGTAACCACATATACATATACAGTACAAACAGAAAAAGAGTTCATCGGCTTGGGAAGTAAGAAAGGGAGACAAAAAAAACAGTTACATAATGGACCTAGCCACCTCAATAAGGAAGGAAAGGAATAGTTTGATAAAGTTACTTATTTCTCAAAAGCACACACATAGGTTACATGTAATACTGGTTACATGTATTACAATCTTATCAACACTTACCATGCATGATTTCCATTTTGCTTTTTTGGCACTCTGTCGCTTAAGTGACACAAATGAACAAAACACTCATTTAGACCTTTTCAGTCCTCCATTGTACCTCTAGGCGTGGCTAATTGCAATTGAATATCATTCTGATTCACTTGTGTGATTTTAACTCTGTCTGATATCTCTGGTCTGATATATTGCTGTTATACAAAGAAGATACTGGATGTAATGCTACATTAATGAATCTTCACTCTGA